CAGGGTTGTGAATACAAATTCTCCAAAATTCTGATTTTCACTTGGAAGCTCCAATGTTATCATTGGCCACAAATTCTGCCAGTTGTCTGCCAGGAAGTGACCCGCTGATGTCATTCATTTTCGAGAAAATGTCTCTCACACACACACAATTCTGAATGGGCCCAGCTTGTCTGTCTTACGAGTCAAAATTGTGTTCCTTGAAAAAAAATCATCTCGTTTGCCCTCCAACTCACTCACATAAGTGCTGTTCCTCAAGACAACCATTGGACTAGAGTGTGCACCACACATGCTTGGTTTCGTCCTGCCCCTTCCATCAAGGAGCCTGGACCGTGGCAAAAGTGCGCAGCCACTAACCAAATGGTCGGTGGTTGGAACTAGCCAGCAGCTCTGCTAGAGAAAGACTTGGCGGGTCAGCCTCTGGGAAGACTGCAGGCTAGGAAATGGAATGGGACAGTCCCACTCCGTGCTAGATGGTCTCTAGAAATCAGAATCAACTCAACGGCATAGGTTTTCCATCTTATCAGCCACACAGAAGATTAAAATAGCTATACTCCAGACACGAGCTTTACTGAAACTTATCATTTCCACTCCTTGATTGATCAGGGCATTTTTTAATAGCACTTTCCTGGAGAGTGGGGCAAGTGTGTGGCAGTAAAGAATACCAGAGCCACAGGGACAGGTAGATGCTGTGGCCTTGATGCCCTCTCTGCGGAGGCAGTTGTACCCCCATGGCTTTACCAACAGATCCTGTATATCATGAGAAGAGTTGTTCACTCAGGAACTCTCTGGAAAGCTTTGGTAACCTCTTGTGGTTTGTGGTCACCCTTTGAGAAGCACTGCTTTGGAAAGTGTACAAACTTGTTTCCTTGTTCACTGCAGAACTATCAAAGGCTCAGCCGTGTCACAAGGCTCTGAAGCAATTTTAAAGTTAGAGTTGCTGGAGAAATAGTAAGATCTGAAAGCCTACATGTCGGTGTAATTCATCAGGATGTATGACTAACCACCTATTTGTGTCAATATTTTTTTCTTATTTTTATTTCTTTCTGTAATCTTCTGGGATTCATTGAGCTCTGATATACGTCAGGCTACAAGGGTTTCAGTTAAGCGCAAATTAGACTTTTGATGACCATTTTGTGTTTGGGGCAGGCAAGACGGGCTATTATTTCTTGAATATTAAATTTTATTGGAAGTATTTTTATTTATGCCCCCAAAATGATTTCCAAACCTTTGAATTCTTGACATCTAGTTAAAGCATTTAGTAGGATACTCTCTACCCATGAGAAATAGTGAGTAACTTTAAATGGTTAAATTGAAAATTAAAAACTACCTATTGTGCCATTCCCTTAATATAATTTATCTTTCAATTGAAAATTTCAAATACTTTACAAACTGCTAAATATAGAAAAAGATCCTAACACAAGTCCTATTGCCTTCTCAGTGTATGAGGGAGCTTCAAAAAGTACATTTTAAAAAATGGAATTAAAAAAAAAAATGGAATTAAAAGATAATGGAATTTTCCATGAACTTTTTGAAGCCCCCTCACATTTCTTTCTAATGTTTTTTTCAGATGTTTCTTATACAGTGAAAATCTTATGGTACATTACAGTTATATAGCTAATGTTTTTCTAATTTACCTAGATTTTTTCCTATCAATATAATGACTTGCTATCTTTATTATATTTCTTCTAGTACGTTTTTGTGTCTTGCTAAACATTAGGATGCTTCTGTTTTCTCCATAAATGTGTGTAGGCTAGTAGCTTTTCCCATGGTTTCGATCTATGTACATATATTTATATGTTAAGTATTAAGGTAGCAGGTGGACATTGGGCCTCAACTCAAGCTCTCCCTCAATGCAAGAACACTTCATTCTACTAAAACAGCATTCTGTGATGCTTACCTTCCCGACACACTCGCTGAAGACAAAATGGGTGCATAAGCAAATGTGGTGAAGAAAGCGGATAGTGCCCAGCTATCAAAAGATATAGCATCTGGGGTCTTAAAGGCTTGAAAATAAACAAGCGGCTGTCTATATGACAAGCAAAAAAGTCTACATGTAGGAAACACACCTGCCTGTGTGATCATGAGGTGTCGATGGGATCAGGTATTAAGCATCAACGACCCCGAACAAAAAATCATATCAAGGTGAATGAGGGGGAGTGCAGAGTGGAGACCCAAAACCCATCTGTAGACAATTGGACATCCCCTTACAGAAGGGTTGTAGGGAGGAGACAAACCAGTCAGGGTGCAACACAGCACCAAGGAAACATACAACTTTCCTCTAGTTCTTTAATGCTTCCTCCCCTCACCACAATCATGACCTCAATTCTACCTTACAAATTTGGCTAGACCAGAGCATGTACACTGCTACAGATAAGCACTCTGAAACACAGGGAATCCAGGACAGATAAATCCATCAGGATCAATAATGAGAGTAGAGATACCAGGAGGGTAGGGGGATGGTGAGAGAAGAAAGGGGGAACTGATCACAATGATCTACATATAACCCCTTCCTAGGGAGACAAGCAACAGAAAAGTGGGTGAAGGGAGACAGCACTCTGAGACATGGAAAAACAATAACATAAATTATCAAGGGTTCATGAGGGAGGGTGGGGGAGAGGGGAAAATGAGGAACTGATATCAAGGACTGTAGTAGAAAGAAAATGTTTTGAGAATGATGATGACAACAAATGTACAAATGTGCTTGACACAATGGATGGATGGATGGACTGTGATAAGAGTTGTACGAGCCCCCAATAAAATGACTTGAAAAGAAAATGTTGATGACAACATATGAAATGTGCTTGCCACAAGGTATGTATGTATGGATTGTAATAAGAGTTGTAAGAACCTCCAATAAAATGGTTTAAAATATATATATATTCCAAATGGAGCAGGGAGTGTGAACTCCAATACACACATTGGCCGTGTTTCAACATCATGTGTCTTATTTACATAGTTACGCAAAAGGACCAACCTCAGTGTCCTCTTGCCCGCCTGGGGTGCAACTGTTACCTGCTCAGGTTGCTGTTTCCTTGTTGAGCTGAAGGTGTTCATATTGAGTTCTACTCACATATTCATGGCTAAATTTATCTGTTCTTAATTTTTTTCTTTCCTACAAACTCTCCTCAACTTCTAGCATTTTCCATGTGCTGGTCCTGAATCTCATCATTGTGGGAGCTGGAGTGGTCATGGCCTGTGTCTACCCAAACATCGGAGGGATCATAAGGTATTGCCTGGGAAGGGGCTGGTCCCCTTCCTGACGTGTTCTTTGCATTTTGCTTGCGCAGTTTTAATCCGATCATATGAACTTCCTGCTAGTCTTTAAAACTCGGAACATTCCAAGGTAGTCCGCTGGTGTGTGGTAAGATGCTCATTTGCTTTCAGTGTGCTTCGCCCGCGGGGAGCACTGACTTTGGAAGCCCTGTTCTCGGTCAGCCTAGCGTCTCTCTCTTTTCTCTTTCTTGGTCCCATGGGCTCCCACTCTATTTCCATTTCTCTTCCTCCAACAGAACGTGCTGTTTTGCTCTATAACTTCTTGGCAGCACCTGGGAGGTCCTTAAACGTCAAAGTTATATTCTAACTTCCCGAAACCATTTCTACTCGAACCTACTTGTCAGTTGTAGGCCAAAGGGAAGCATGTGGGGTCAGATGACACTTTCCTTACATCGTGTCCCTAAAAACCCTGACAGGTTGAATAGAGTGGCAGTATTGTTCTGACTGTGTCGTGACCTTGAATTGGCATGGGAGACTGAGGTTTAGAATGGCCTGGTTTCTCCTCCTTAACCCATAGAAGACAGGGCTGAGCCACATTTTGGAAGGCCCTTATCTAAGAAAGGAGCAAAGAAGCAAGAGGGCAGCTTATTGGTTCTGTGTGTATGGTACTGAATGGGTTTAAATGGTTCCTCTTCAGAACCTAAGGGTAGGAAAAGGGAAAAGAGCGCGCGAGCTCCGTATTTTTGTTGTGATCTCCGATAATCACACTGATGAACCGCCACTGAGGCAGCCATCTGTTCGCCTGCTTCAACAGATGCTAGCCGGCCCTTAGAACCACAGGATGCACAATTTGTTTATAAGAGATCAAAGGTAGGAAGCCTGTCTCCACATGTTTCCAAGGAAGGAGCCACATTCACCGAGCCACGGAGGAAATAATGGGGATTTGAGAGAATAAAAAGAACGTGTCAGACAGGCAGATGCTATAAAGATGAGCAGGAAATACTAGTTTCTATTCATTAAGCTATCAAGTAGAATAAGTTTGAACCCCAAAGGCTTGATGTCAGCAGAAAATGAATCAAAGCCAATTCCATGGCAGTCCGGGGAGGGTTTAAATTTCACTGTACATACTGTAACTGTAAGTCAGATAAAGAAGCAAACCGAAGGGTGAATATTAACACAAAAAGCTTTTATTTTGCAGATATTCTGGAGCAGCATGTGGCCTGGCCTTTGTATTCATATATCCATCTCTCATCTACATCATTTCCCTTCACCGAGAAGATCGGCTGACGTGGCCTAAATTACTCATTCACGCGTTCATCATGATGTTGGGCCTGGCCAACCTGATTGTTCAGTTTTTCATGTGAAACACTCACCTGTCTTCTCAAGATATCGTATGGTATTTAAGTTTTGACGAAGTTCAACATAAATTCACTTGTAGACCCTGTTGTTGTAAATACTGTTCTAGATGTTTTCCTAAGGTCAGTTTGAAAGCCAGGGGAAAAGTGGTCCCTTCATCAGTGTTTTGATTTCATTAAGGGACATCGGGTAATAAGAGTGACCTCAGTCTCTTCGCTTTTGTCATATTCACTTTTTCTTTTTAATCGTTTTATTGGGGACTCGTACAGCTCTTATCACAATCCATCCATCCATCCATTGTGTCAAGCACATTTGTACATTTGTTGCCATCCTCATTCTCAAAAATTTGCTTTCTACTTGAGCCCTTGGTATCAGCTCCTCATTTTTGCCCTCACTCCCTACACCCTTCCCTCATGAGCCCTTGATAATGTATAAATTATTATTATTTTATCATTTATTACACTGACGTGTCCCTTCACCTGCTTTTCTGTTGTCTATCCCCCAGGGAGGAGGTTATATGTAGATCCTTGTAATCGGTTCCTCCTTTCCACCCCACCTTCCCTCCTCCCTCCCAGTATCACCACTCTCACCACTGGTCCTGAAGGGATCATCCGCCCTGGATTCCCTGTGTTTCCAGTTCCTATCTGTACCAGTGTACATCCTGTTCACTTACTTCTTTGTTCTGATTTGTCTGAGTTGTAGTGTCTGCTAGGAACAGTCAGGCCAGCTTTTGCTTTTGGAGTGATCAGGTGGTCTTGGGTTTATTTGGGCCACAGTGAAGATTCTCAGGGTGTCATGGCAGCAGATAGCCAGATTCTGTTTCTGGGTGATGTGTCACTGTTCTCATTTCCAGTTAATAATGTACTTGAGTGTTTTAATGTCTGGGAAACTTATTTCTGCCCATTTACTGATGACTGACAGATGTGTTATTTACCAAACTAAAAATCTGGGTCTTTCCTTCTGTTGTCTTGGTAATCCATTTCCTCTGGAATCCTGGGTTAGGCTTTTGCTGAGTGACGTTAGCGTCTTAAGTTTCCTTCCATGGAACGGACCCCTCTGAGCTTTAGTTGGCTTCTTCAGGGAGCTCTGTCTGAGCCTGCACCTCCTGGCTCACACGTGACATTGACAGGAACTCTTTCAGATCACATCACTGTTCGGTTTAGACTTTCTTGCTTCTCCAGCTGGCTCTGAATTTTCTTTAAAAGAAAAAAAAAAATGTATGGTTTGACTTGGTTAAACCCTAGTAGTCACTTCAAACTGAGCCTATCTAACAAACAACTAAGGACATGATGAAATTAAAAATGGGTAGTTTGGCCCCATCTTTCTTAGAAAGCCTCTGGGCACTAATACTAAAGTAGGAAGGGTGAGGAAAAGGTAACTATATTTAATATCTGTGGGTGATCTTCCAACTTGAGTCTCATCAGCACACCTAGAGTAATATATTTGGAATAAGAAACAAGTCTATCCATAAAAAGGGAAATAAAGAGAAATACACCTACTCCTCACTTGTGGACATAGTTAGACTCCAAAGACAGAGTTGTTACACAGAAATCAGCATATGCAAAAATGGAGGTTGATCACGCCAGATCACAAAATGGAAGATGATCACATCATTACACGATTGCCAAATTACACTATCATATAACTGCCAAACATGAAAATCAGGGCCGAGTCAAGTTGACACATCACCATCACAGCCATCTTAACTCTCGCCTCACACCTCACCATTTGTCACTGCCAGATGTTTACCGCTAATGCACGGAGTGCATCGCTGTAAATGGGAATGGTCAGGAAACGAGGTAATTGCAACATGAGCCATAGGAATACTTGCTTTATTGGCATGGGTTATTTTGTAACTATAATGTAATGGCAGCTATTAAATGTAAAAAGTAGACTTTTCTGTTTCTACTTGTTCATTTGGAGCCGATTGTCTTTTGATTTGTTCATCTCTGCCACTGAGTCAACAACAACAATCTTTGGTGCTTGGAGAGAGAAAGGTGTGCAAGATATCATTCAGACCCCGAGGAGCTGTTCATCAGGGAAAGAGACCATCTAGACAATTAACTAGAGGCACGCAGCCTCTTCGGAAGACTGCCGAGGAGCCTCAGGAACGGCTGGGAAAGGAACCTACAAAGCCGAGCAGCAGGCTCTGTTTCCAGCTCCTGCTGGCTGACCAAAATAAGACGTGAGAGTGTACCGCCCTCGCCATTGAAGTAAAGCACAGGAAAATACTTGCTTTCATTTGTGCAAATTTCCGGTGTGATGCGTTTTATGCGATGTCCTCAACTGGTTTTTATACATTTACTGTCTCATTTGTGTTTTCCCATAATTAACGTTCACATCTCTGAATCGTGGGTAGCACAGCACAACTGAGCAGTAGGGGAAATCATTGGTAACAGATGGGCCAGGCCGTACGAAAAGAAAGATTCTGAAATACATTTTCTCCAAAGACTTATTGAACTACTTGTATTTACAGTGTCAAATATTTCCACTCATTGGTGAGAGCAGAAAATAGTGTTGTTGCATGTTTTCCTTGCAAAGCACTTACCTATTATTGCTTTTTAGAATCCGGTGTTACTGTTTGGGGTTTGTTTTTGTTTTGTTTTTCATTTTCCTCCTCCAGCTCAGGTTCCTCCTGAGTTGAATGTCCAGAACCAAATCCAAATCCTGTTGACACCTAAACCATAGATTGTTGTATTGCCCCGTGATCTAAAGTGAAATCGTCCCCACCACGTGCTCACAGGCTGGCCTGGCTGGCCTCAGTGTTACGGCTGGCTGGCTCCCTAACTTTGGATTATGTCAACACACATTGCAAAACAGCTCTGACGGGAACTTCATAACCTAAACAGTATTCTCTGAAAGGTAATTTGTTGTCTTTTTATATAAAAGAAATTAAATCTTAATTATTTTGAAGAAAAACGACTCTTGGATCTTGTTTCATGGCATTTTGCTGGGAAATGCTGTTGCCTGGTCGCACGGACCCCGGGCAGGGAGAAGCTGGAGCCCACCTTTTGTAGGGCCAGACTCTTCAGGTGACTTTTGCACCTGTGTCTCACGTCAAGTCCTCAAAGAGCCCTCCCTCCCTAGTGGTCTGATCCTTGGGGTACCTCCTGTTAAAGCGAGACCCCGCATGATTGTTCTTTATGACGGTAAATTGTGACTGTTCCCTCTGAGAACATTCTAGAATGAAGGTGGCATTGCAGGCTACATGTAGCCCAATGTTTTGCCACGAGTTTGGTACCATCGTCTTCCATTTAAACCAATAAAGAACTCTCGTTCTTTTTTTCTTCTCTCCCCCCCCCCATTTCCCAACTCCTCTGCAGAAAATAAGATATCCCTTATAAAGGTTAAAAGCCTCTCCATTCTCCCTGTTCATCCCAGACCATGAAGTACAGGCCTTGGAGAGGAGTGGGGTAGAACACCATCTCTCCAGAATTTTCGATCCCAAGTGATGCAGTTGTGTTTGGTCACAACAGGTTCTCAATATTCATCTGTTTAACTGGTCCATTAACTAGGCAGCATTCAACTTTGAAGTTAACTGCTGTTACCTAGAATTGTGTTCCATGCCCAGGAAACCAAAGCGGAACTGAGTTAGCTGAGCCCAGGATTAGTCATTCAGACCTTGTTTCTGTACTCAGTGCATTCTGGTGTGTCTGTGAACAAACCAGACAAGGCCACTACAGTTGAACATCATTTGATTGCCCTCCTGGGTCATTTCCCTGGGTTCCTCTGAGGTTCCAGCCCTCCTCCCTTTGCCGCTGCCCTAACTCTGGTGAATGCTGTGATGGAGCCTTGTCTCAAGCATACTGTGAATTGCATCTAGGAGGGCAGGGTGATAATTGGGACTCTAAAGTTAACCGTATCTCTCAAGACAAAACTTTGTAGAACCCTAGGACAGTTAGAATTGTGAAGTTACATAGCGATGTGGACAAAAACTGGAAGAAACCACACAAGAATGAATATAGATCCCCTCTTGAGATGATAGGATTCTGCACAAATCATTTGTGCTTTTCTGTTTGCCTAATAAATTTTTAAATATAACAAATTCAAGGGAAAAAAAGACTGGTCAAACTAGGTCTAGACTTAGGCCATGAAGTAGAACCTGCCCACAACACAGCTTCGACACAGTGGCGGCCTAATGGGCCCAAACATAACAATTGTGAGGCTGGCACAGGGCAGGGCAGGGTTTTGTTCTGTTGCACAGAGGGTAGCTGTGAGTCGGAAATAATTTGATGGAACCCAACAATGACAAAGCACCTTTGGAGCAGGTGAGAGAGAGCCTTGGTAGTCTAACAACGACAAAGCACCTTTGGAGC